ACAAAAAGGTGAAACTATATTCATTTCTCAGAATAATTAATGACAAATATCAGTAAATATCTGCTGATAATATTACTATGAATTTTAGAATTTTCCATCATAATATAGGTGACATGGTAAGAATACAAAAAAAAGAAGTATGTCATATTAAGATTTAGCAACCTAGTCTAAAAACGGGTCTTAAATAAAATTATATACAAGAATTTAAGAATTAAGGCAGAGCAATTGAGAAGATAAGTTTGGCATGATGGATTTTGTGCCAGCTACAATAAGTTGACACTGTATTAATTTCTCAGAATAATTAATGACAAATATCAGTAAATATCTCTTGATAATGTTATTATGAGTTTTATAATTATTTCCATCATAAAACAAGTTACTTGATACAAATTTGAAAAAAAAGAAGTATGTAGTGTTAAGATTTATCAACCTAGTCTAAAAGTGGGCCTTAAACATCCAAGACACACTTAAGACTTAAGTTGGCATATTTGTGATTGAGATGAAAAAAGTTAATTGCATGGGTGGTCAAGTATCTATCCCCCTCTATCTCGTAGAATATGAAAGCAGCTTCTCAAAGACACTAAAATGCACAATCTAAAGGACAAACTTTAGAATTCTACTTTGTCCCTGCAATAGGAGCCCAAAGTCTCCTATATTTTGGAGGTGTGTGATGAGATCAACTGATTTCAAAGTAGCCCATGTGTGAGAATTTCCTGTTCAGACCTTCAGTGACACAGTGATGAGAAATCTACTTTTTCCACTCTTGCCTCACTCTGAGCCTTCACAGGGTACTCTTGAAGGTCACAGACATTGTTTGTTCTTGTCCTGGATTTATGCCTTGAAATTTTATGTTTTATTTCCCAGCTACCATAGGCCCTTTTATGAGAGTAACCTGGCCTCTGCACTAAAGGACACATGACTTCTGGGGATAGAAGGTATGTTTCGATACTCTCCACCTCTCTATTAGCCTACCTCATTAGTGGAAGCTACCAAGTACTAGGTGCAATGCAACCAAGGTATACTTAATCTACAAGAAAATCAATGTGGAAATTAATTTCTTAATTTGTATAATTCAGGGCAAAAACCTAAAATATGAAATATGATGGAGGATTGCCTAAGTTTGTAAATTAGGCCTCTGGAGACCTACTTAAGGACATATACATATATCTGGTTAGTTAGCAAACATAATTTAACTGAGACAAATAAATATCATGAAAATGAACAATTAATTTTGGATTAGTGATCATTGCATTCTGTACTGCTGAATAATAACATAATAATTTATATGTAGTTCAGCCATTATAAAAGATTATTAAAAGGAATTACTTTATATATGAAAGCCAAACATAATTCCTTAGTTTTATTAAAAGAAAGCATTTTTAATTTTTAATTAAAATCAGGGTAAGGTAAATTTTATAGAATGCTGAACTTAGTTATAATCAAAAGACTTTTAAAAATTTATCAAATATTGCAGAAAATATACCACATTGACATAAAAAACTTGTCTAATGATTTATTTTCCGTGGTTTAACTGACATGAATCAGATACAATAACATAACAATTGTGACTAAAATAAAAATTAAAATAGTTAATATTTGTAGAGAGCTTTAGGTGCCAGTTTGAGTCGTAGAAGTTTTACATGCATTATATTTTGTATCTTCTTATTCCCACTTTAGGTTAGCAGACTAGATTATTAGATACTAAGTAACTTTTTAAAAGTTACACATTGTGAATTACAAACCCAAAATTAATTCTAGATATCATTTACTCCAGAGCCCATTGACTAAAATATTACATTAAATTATATGAATTTTTACAAATGCCCACACAATTGAAGTGACCTCTATTGATGTTAACAAACATAATATCTTTCTGGAAGTTTGAAATGACAATGTTCTTCCATAAACAGTTTACATTTTATTTGTAATTTTATGGTTTTATATTTTACCATTAGAATAAATTACCCATACTTCTGTAAATAAGATTAAAAAAATTTTGTAGTGTTTCTAATACTGTTTAGATTGTGTGTAAATTTGTGTCACGTACATTTTCCAACATATAAAATATTCTAAATAGTTTAATAATTTCTTGGAACCCTTCAGCCATTTAAACAAAAGAACACTTAATAATCCTGAATCCATTTTAATAAATAAATGTAAACTACAAAATAAAAGTAATTTAGGGCAAGACAATAAGATATATGTCAACTTTCTTATTCTCTATTTTAAGATCACTCAGTCCTTCACCATTGTTGGCCTTCAAAATTATCATAAATCAGTGTATATATTTATCTAATACATTTTTATTTTTGATACAGCTATTGTATTTATTTTAAAATATATCTTTTGAATCAGACTTTAATAAATACGTTTTTATTCATAGACTTCTTTATTTCTCGCTAATTTATTGGTTTCCATTGTTCTAGCAATAATATTTCAAAAATGTAGAAAATCTTTTTTTTTTCAACGCAGGAAAATTTTCCAAAAAAATATTTTACCCTAAGACACTTGTTTAAGCTCTAAGGAAATTAGAATGAGAACTTCAGATTTTTCAATGCAAAATGAGAACCAGTATGCACACTACACCTCATCCGTTTTGACTGTACTGGGGATCTTGACATTATATAAACCATTTATTAGTTTCTTAAGTCCAGGTATCATAGAGCACAGTCTGACATCGCACAGCTGCAGGGATGGATAACCAAGGAGTAATCTACTCTGAAATGAATTTGGCCAAAAACCCAAAGAGGCAGCAATGGAAACCTAAGGGCACTAAAAGCTCCATTCCAGAAACTGAACAGGAAATAACGTATGCTGAATTAAACCTTCAAAATGCTGCTCAGGATCTTCGAGGGGATGACAAATCTTACCACTGCAAAGGTAAAGCACTTAATAGCTCCTCAACAACTGTTCTAGGATGTGCAGTTGGGACGAAGGGGTGTGGGGAAAGAGTAGAATGTGCTCACATGGTTTTATCCATGCAAATAAGAGCTCTAAGTTGAGATATGGTATTTAATATGAAATATGCAGATGAATTTTACTCACACATTTTTGAAATTTATAGTCTCTGTGCAACAACTCATGGAGCACTACATTTACTGCAAATGCAATGGTATCTTCTGAGAGAAAGATTACTGTGGTAGATGTGGGTTTGGGGTCCAGTTTTATCTATGATTCCCTGTGTATGTGGCATCTCTTGTATGTAAATATTCCAACCAACCTTCTCTGTCTCTACTTTCTCAGTGTGTCTGTTTCTCTCCCTGCAGATTTACTGTTTCCTCCAGAGAAGCTCGTTGCTGGGATCCTGGGAATCCTCTGTCTTGTCTTAATAATGTCCACTGTGGTAACAAGTCTTGTCGATCCCTGTAAGTAGGTTTTGGAAGAATAAAAGGAAACTTTTACACTTAATGATTGGAAGTGCCTCCAAACATTGCACAATATGAAGGAATAAAATAGTCATTATAATGTATGTTTTGGACTTATTGAGGAATGGTTAATCTGAATTTTTCAAAAGTATAAATGAAAGAATAATTGTACAAAACCTTTGCTTTTAATTTTATATATGTATATATTCAAATTTCGTAACTCAAATACATGTCGTAGGAGACTGAAAAGCTTACCAGTAAATAGAAATTAGTTTTTGAAAGTGGATAAATTGAATATTTACTGTATTGGAATATATAAAGTAGACAGAGATGGCGAAGTTTGGTTTTGTAGACTCTGCGAGGACTTATTTCCCCACACCTTTACTACATTATTCATTTTTTCTTGCTAAATCAATTTTACTTCATGTAATTCTAATTCTAGGGGATACACTGAATTTCAAACAAAAATTAAAATTATTGTGACTTATTCAGATACTAATTTTTAATAAGGATCACTTTAATTTTTCTAGCTAGAGAAACAAAGAAGCAGAACAATACTCTTCAGACTGTAAGAACTCAGAAAGGTACTGATATTGGTCATTTTTTACTTTGTGTCAATCTTAGGCTGTGCAAAAATGATAATAGATATTTTTTGGGGGAAATTACTGAAAATATTGGGCAAAAACATTCATAAATAAAGGTTATGGGAGAGGATGCCTTTTATTCACCAATAAGTAGAAATACTCATTTAAAATCACTATACCTCTTTTTGCTATTAATATTTGACTCATGCCGGGCGCGGTGGCTCACGCCTGTAATCCTAGCACTCTGGGAGGCCGAGGCGGGCGGATTGTTTGAGCTCAGGAGTTCGAAACTAGCTTACCTGAGCAAGAGCGAGACCCCATCTCTACTAAAAATAGAAAGAAATTAATCGTAAAACTAAAACTGTATAGAAAAAATCAGCCGGGCATGGTGGCGCATGCCTGTAGTCCCAGCTACTTGGGAGGCTGAGGCAGAAGGATCGCTTGAGCCCAGGGGTTTGAGGTCACTGTGAGCTAGGATGACGCCACGACACTCTAGCCTGGGTAACACAGTGAGACTCTGTCTCAAAAAAAAAAAAAAAAAAAATATTTGACTCAAATTACTCCCGCTATCATATGGTAACAGTTAAATAATTTTGCTATTCCAAAAAAGTAGGTTCATTCAGTGATTTTTCAGACATGTTGCAGGGTGGATTTGTGTTTGATAATTTGGTTTATGTGGCAATATAATTAGGGGATGAGAGGCTGACCCTTTTCTGTGCATGTGTGTGAGTGGGTTTTCTTTATATTTACCAGCTTATGAGGATACATAGACATGTACATATATTTATATACCTTTGAAAATATGTAAATTAATTTTCATTTAAAAATTCACATTGTGTATAGACAGTAATTTATAGTCTTTCCTCAGCATATCACTGTCGTCGTTGTCCAGACGGGTGGTTCGCATATTCCACCAACTGTTATTCCATTGGTAAGGAATTCAAAACTTGGAATGCCAGTTTGATGGCCTGTGCTTCTAAGAACTCTAGTCTGCTTTACATAGATAATGAAGAAGAAATGGTAAGACGTTAAAGGTTTCAAACATTTTATTAAAAGCTTCTATCAGCTGATATTATATTTGTAGAATTCATCATATTCTTGATACATATTCTTGGTACATGTTTGAGTTTAATTATTTTCAGATATGTACAATATTCTCTTGTTTGACTTCACAATAGTTTGTTTCCATTTGTACACTGCTAAAACACATGTAATTATTACAAACTCTTGCTGCTCATGGAAAACAATGCTTCTATAAATGCTTTTATTCTATGACAAATTTTTCTATTTAGTTGTACTACATATAAACAAATCATGATGGCACAGATTTATCACAAAGTGAATGGACTCCTATAATACAAATTAGATCACGAAATAGGAGTTTCCCGCCCCAGCAGCCCTGCCCATGTGCATGCCCTCAGCACTTCACCCCTCTCCTCCTCAAACCACTGTCCTGACTTTTAATATTACAAAAAAACTTTACCTGTTTTTGAATTTTCATAATGGAGTGATATAGTATGCACATTTTTGTCTGTCTTCTTTCACTCCTGGGTGGTATTTGTCCAATTCATCCATATTAATGCAGTGAACTGTAGTTTGTTAACTTTCACGCTATATCGTGTACATATATTTATCACATTTAAAAATCCATCTGCTGTTTCTGGATAGCAGAGATAAGTCTCATGCCTTCAGGGACACAGAGGCCTCCTGGATGGAGCACTTGTAGGCATGGGATGCCTTTGTGGGTCCCCCTCAGCCACACCTACCCTGGTGTCTCTTGGTGGGGAGCAGAAGCACTTCCTCTGGCTACTGACTATTAGCAGGTCTCCTGACAGATCACCCTTGGTGGTGGTTCCAGCCTTGCTTGTATTGCTGGCAGGACTCCCTCTCAATACAGAGGGGGAATGAGCTTATCTGAGGCATCTCTCATTGCCAGGTTGGGTACTGGGTGACAGCAGGCCTAGGTCACTTTCTTCTGTTGGGTGGGGACTTAAGATGCCCAGCCACTGTGCTGATCCCTGATCCTGGGGTCCCAAACCACTCTACCTTTCTCTTTCCACCTTTCAGACTCTCCTTTGCTTGTGTCTTTCATAAGTTCCAGAGTTTATAGTTGTATTTAGTAGGGAGTAGCACCTGTTTTGCACCACCGGTGTTCCGCCAGTGCCAAAACAGGCAAAACTGAGGGCTTAGCTGGTGAAAGAATGGCGTGGTGCCCAGAAAACCATATTTTTGGATTACATATCATTTATTTCCTCAAGAGAAGACCTTTTAATTTCCTGCTAAACCCCAAATGCTGAGATATGTAGTAGAAATATACATTGATTTAATATCGGGAGAAATCTATGTACGGTGTCTGGAAATTTATTTAAATTCATGCTATATTTGTTTTGCCTACATGGGTTACTATTAAATTATTAATACATGGCTCATAATTATCCTCATTATGTAAGAATAAGAATGAAACTACTGAGTATAAATGTTTTAGGGTTCATTTTAAGGAAAAATTACAAATATTTGTGAAATGTTTTGGGCCTATAAAAAGTGGTTTTCAACCTTCATATATTGATTAAAATATTCATTTTGTTTATAATTATAGATCCAGTGTAAGAACATGCTACTTGCGTTTTAAAATTTTGTACAATCTTTAATAATCATTTAAATGGAAAAATTTATATTCCTGTAGATATTTCTGGGCTCCCTGTCAGGTCAATCATGGGTTGCAGTCTTTCGTAACAGCGGTGGTCATCCATGGATGTCAATAAATGGCTCAACTTTCAAACTT